GCCCATGAAATTCGAGACTCCAACAACAACTAGAGGGAATGTAGGCGAAATCACAAGGTTCTGACAATGTGGCAGATAAGACCTAACTGTTCCTTCATGCAACTAAGAAGTAAAGCTACCAGCATGAACCACAATTTCCATATATATATACAAAACAACCAGGAAAAGTCTAAAACATCACACACTCAAAATACCAACAGAAGAAAAACAAATCAAAAGCAACATATCCTAAAGTGGCCTCCTTTCTTGTAAGTTAAAGTAAGTTGTTTTGTTAGAACAAAGCAGCTGCAGGCCATCAGCTGTGTCCACCCTAGGGAACTGAACCCTGGCACTGCGAGTCCTAAAACTTACCACTGACTCACAGGGGGGCTGGAAATCCAACAGACTAACAGAATGCACAGGAAAAAGAGAATCTAAAGTGTCTCCAAAATGTCTAAGATTGCCCTCAAATGTCACCTCTGAGCCCCCTGGAGAACCACCACAGATCTGAACATATGTCTCCATCTCATTACAAATAACATCAATGACAGTCTCAACCAAGAGTGAACCTCCCTCTCCCTAATTGTTGTGTGACGCTAGATATAAGAGGTGGGAAAGGAGAGACCCAATTGGCCTCTGTGCCAGATATAATAATCTGGTGATTCATACAATAATCAGCTTGTCAATTTGAAGAAACAAAAATTATTATTACTGTTAGGAAATCAACTAGACAAAATGATAATGTTCAAATTATCTAAGAATGATCATAATACTGGGAACCCATTAGTGATGCTTTGTCAAGAAAAAGTGATCAAATTATCTGAATGAGGTGCTTATATACAGTACCAGGATAGAGGATGCATTGATGTAGGTGGAGAGTATCACAAGACATATATTGCTAAGGGCAACTGAGTGGGGTATTAAAGAATGAAGCAAGTGAGAAAAGATGAAACCCTGGCAGTCGAGTAATAGTTATAAGTGGGAGAGGAGGTAAGTACGTTTTGGAAAAAAGTCAAAACTTAGTCAATAAGGATCTCTGAGCTACAGCTAATCAAACCATGTGAAAATATTAAAATGCATTTATTTTCTTTTAGTAATTCAAGGATAATCTTAGTACACAGTTAATTATTTTCTGCAACAACTGGAGGTTAAGAAGACTTAGTACGTGGCAGGATAGGTGTAGTAATTTGTAATGGTTGAATAAAAGAGACAAGATTTGTAAAGCTGAAGCAAGGATAAAGAACTTATTTGTCAAAGAAAACAAAAGAATGGCCAATACATTACATTCTGATATATGTTATATTGAAAAGTATTATAAACTGACTGTTTTTAAAGATTACGTAAAGATAACTCACACAATAAGCAAAAGTAACAGATAAAGGATTACAAAACCGATGAAACATTACCAGTAAATCTTGACTCACTAAGATAAAAACTCTCTCTCTTGCAGCTGACCACCAATTGGAAATTAGAATCACAATAATCCAAAAGTATCTCTACTTCATGTAATAGTCATAAAGCAGTCCTCCACACACAAGATATAGTAGGACACCATACAACTATCCCATGAAACAGTAGTTTCCATGTGGAACTACTTTTCAATGAAACTAGTAAATAAAATTACAGATGTCAGTGGATTTAAAAAGGTAACTTATTTTAAAAAGCAGTGTCACAGATGTGTAAAATTACATTTCTAGTTAAGTGGTATCATTTAGTACATAAAAGAAAACATCCGATAACTAGATTATCAAGCAAACATTTACCACACGTGTGCAGTTACATTTGCAGTTAAAATAGTAACACAGAGCACAAAATAAATCATAAGTTATTAACTTAGTTCAAAGTAACAAATTTTAAGTATTAAACTTTATTGAAATCTGGTTATGTCCCAAACTTTTGTAAACATCATGGGCACATAAATAGATAGGTTTGTATATAATAAAATTGATTATAACACCAGCTATATGCATGGTACAGTAAGAAAAAAATAGATAAGTGCTTAGTGTTTTATAAATTCTTCTGATATATCTACCCTTTATTTTGAACAATTTCACAACTGTTTCTCACAAAGATATATGTCTCAGTTGTACATATTGATAGATACCAATGCTGAATATCAATCACTATTATACTTCCTGAAAGAAACACAGAATTAGCAGATGCTAATAGACTTAATTGACATTTGGCCTCCTGTTGTGTTTATAATTTGACTTATACCTTTGAGATAATTGAAAATATCATTATATTTTAGGTTTCCACAACTAGTAAAGAATATATCTTTATCTAGGTGAATTCAAGTAATTTTTATAAATTTTTCTGTAGGTGTTATATGTCCTTTCAACATCCTTGTAAGCTAAGTGTGTGAAGGTTATAAAAAAACTTTGTATCAATCATTTATCTTAAACAAAAGTCACGTGCTGCTAGAATTGTTCTACATGGTTTATACTTGTTTGACCTTGATTCTGTTGTCATGCCCTCTTGGAGAAAGATCATACTCATTTAAAGAAGGGAAAATTAGGTGTAAAGACAATGACTGTTGATACAGTCTTGGCCAAAATGCTTGCATACTGTTCTACATGGATGTCACTGTTAATAAGTATGTAGTAGTTATTGAGTAAATGCCTGAGTAGCAACAGAGATAGTAGCATATGATTGGACAAACATGTATGAGTTGTTATTCTGTTCTGTATAAGTTGTTTTGAGTACTGGTTCATCAAAACACATGTACACACCTGTTTTGTACAAAAGGGTGTGCTTTTGGTATAATTTTTTCAAAACAGATCAATGCTTTGTTCAGACAATTTCTTTGTACTTGGTGTAAAATCATGCCTTGTCATATGCCAGAAGTTATAGGGCATCAAATTGTTCAACTGTCTAGAAATGGTATGAAGCAAATGGATATTGCTAGGACAATGTACTTTATTCATAATACTGAAACGTCATTGGAATACAGAAAACATTGTTCCAGGAAAGTCTACTAATACACACCGATAAACTATTGCCCAATATGACCATGTTTTGATCAGATTAACATGTCAAGGTCGAAAGAAGTTTTGCAACACCATATGCCAGAAAAGACATGAACACGTTCATTACTGGGTATTCAGAAGAACAGTGAATAGGAGACTTACCAAACAAGGTTATTTTGCAATAAGTACTATCTACAAACCGATATTTACCAGAATTGACTGCCATCACTGTGTTAGTTGGGTGAGACAGCATATCAACTTATAGTTATGACACTGTTTCTGGCTTGTTAAAGTCGATGGTACGATTTGTGTTCATTGTTTGCCTGGAAAATAGAAGAGGAAAGACTGTCTTTCCCACATGGAACATACAGGAAGTGGTGCAGTACATGTTTGGGTAGCTATTCATCATGGTGAAAAAACTGCTCTTCATATCCTCCAGGAAAACATTAATAGTGTCTTCTACAGGCATCATATAGAGATGATATTTCTGCCATATGCTACGGCAACATTTGGCAATAACTTTGTATTCCAGAATGACAATAACACTGCCCACAGGATTATCTCAACCAGGAGGATGTTACAAGATTGTAATGTCCAGCAAAGTCTCCAGATTGTAATCCCATTGAGCACTGATATGCAGAACTGAGCTTGAAAATTGCTAATTATGATACTAAATCAGCTACTGTAGCTAAGTTGCAGTGCCTTCTAGTGACAAGTATGAATGAAATCACAGTGTATCACATCAATAACCTCATCTACAGCATGCCATCTTGCTTTGCAGAGGTTATCAGAGCGCAAAGAGGACCAACCAAATACTGAATGTTTAGTATGGATTGATATAAGGTTACTGATGCTATTTATAATAATGTGATGTTATATTTTGTCATTATATGTTTTGGTAAGGTTTTGTTGTAATAGGTGAAATGTTGAATTAAACATCTTTATACAGGTGTCTAATAAAATTGTTTGTTGTTCTAATAAATCGTTCATTGTGTCCACAGAACCTGTCTCATTATATAAATTATGTATGTAGATGTTTAATATAACATGTATTTCTCAGTTTGACAGCACTACGTGTATTTGTATTTCATCCTAATAATAATGATGATGATGCCTATAATAATGTGCTACAAAATATGCAAACATATAGGCCAAGACTGTATATGTAATCTGGAAATACTGCACTAGAACCTTGGTCTGACTTGACAGCATAGTATCTTCATTATTTTTATCTCATCTGTGTTTTATGTAGATGAACTTTTTCACCCTGCTCACTCTGACCCAGCAGCTAGTAGTAATCTTTAGAATGAATAAAGAAGCCTGTCAGTAGTTCTAGATTTACACATTGTTTGTGAATAAAGATTCTGTTTATTTGTTTACTATTGTTTGCTTGTATTTTCTATGTTGTCCACATTCAAAACTATTCTCATCAAAACATTTACAGAACATGCTGTATTGTTGATACTTATAACTATCTGTTAGCAATCAGTGTAATAAAAATGAGTATCAACAGGTTTGAATAGTCAAATGCAATCATTAGTACAGTGCTTTAATGCAGAATGGTCCAACCTTTTAGCTATGGAAGACTGTAGAGGACCACAGTTTATTTCTTATATTTCTTACTGGAATGGGACGTTCCTATCAAAATTTATTTGTAACAAAGTTTTTAATGTATAAACTTAATGATTAATAAAGAGTGTGTTGGCCAAATAAACTCACTTATGGGATCTAACACACCCAAAGCCTATCAGTTGAGCCACATAATGAAAATGAAAAAAGAAGAAACATTTTTTCATTAAAACATGATTTTACAGTTTCACAGTTGTAACTTAAACAAGTTGATGAAACAAAAAGCAAGTGGTGTTTCAGTGTAACAAAGTAACTAGACATAATCTATTATTGAATTATGTATCATTCAGGAAAATGGCCTTGTAAGACTTTTTGAGTGTTATAAACCAGAAATTATAACAGCTAAAACCTACAGGTAAAAAAAAAACAATTTATATATACACACACACACACACACAAGTGACATTTATTTGATGTATTAACCTTGCTGTTTTGCTTCAGGGGCTTGTATTAATTCTTGTATCCCTTTCTTGGGGTTTAGGTTTCCTCTTTTTTCATAATGGACAATCAGCTGTGGAATACTGAGCACTGGCATATAGTTTTGTTCCTAAATATTTAGCATAGCATTAGTATACATTGAAAGACAGGCTGAACTCTTTAAAAAAAAGAAACACCATTTGTTATAAACTAAGGAATGACAATCACTAGCAAGTAATTATGAATAGCTATCACTTATTTAGAATCAGTTAGAAGTGTGACCAAATCTTAAGGTCTATAAATAGGTTATGAGAAAATTTTAAACCCCACAAAAAGATATGTTTCATATGCTACTCAAATATTTATACAAAGCATGGATTATCTGCCTGGTAAGCCTACTTAGGGAAAAGTCAAGAGTCATGTATATAACTAAAAGCAAGTGAATTAATGAAACCAATAAAGGAATTTTCATGGATATTAAATAAAAGATACACTCAGGCCAGTGTGATATGGCAGTCAGATAAGGCACTATAACAATTACACTGTCATTTAATGTCATACTTAAAAATCTATTAGTTCTCTTATATAAAATTATAAGTAGATCTTTAAAAGTTTAAAATTCAAGGAACTTGTGTATATTTTAAAATATTAAAATCCACAAACGAACAATGTTTTATAATACATAATTAAAATCTTTATTAAAACCAATCAATGTGGTTTTACGTAATCTTCAGGAGTGTGAAAAAAGTTACTGTGTGCTATATAAGTACAAAAGCCATGGTCATGTGACTACTAGTTTACAATTCAAAAAAGAAGATCACACCATCTACATACTTTCTGGTTTTCTAGTCCTTCATCCTTATTTAAGATCAAGTTGTTTTTGAGTGAATTTTGCAACTGTTGATCGGTTTAAATGAAGATTTTAATTGTGTATTATAAAACATTGTTCTTTGTGGATTTTAATATTTTATAAGTAAGTTTTCAAAATATTTATTACATAGAAATTTAGTTTACTTTTCAGAACATGTTGAGACTGTTTTCAATATTTTTGTACTACATTTCACATATAAAATCATGGATTGAAATTCTGATGAAAACCAGTTTAAATTTACAACTTGATCAAATGCATCATTTGGTGAATATATGTTCACAATTTAATACTGCCAAAATATAATTTTTTTTACAATTATATGACTGATTCACTAGATAAACTCTGTTCTTTAGTACTTACTAACTTACATTAAAAATCAGGATAATTTAATTCAACAACTGAAGAGGGAAAAAAATGGCTAAACACTATTCCTGTCAGTTGTACTAACACAATATTATATTTAAAAATCAAACTGGTGTATTTACATGTATTACACTCACTAATAAGAAACCTATCATTCTATAGGTATTCATTCTACTTATTCAAATATTATATTTGTTTGAATTTCAGTATAAACCTTAAAGCTCACATTCTCTGAATATAAAATAGTTGCCTTTTAACTTTTATATGGGAGTTTTAACTTGAATATACTGACTTACCCTGAAACTGAACCTGACAACATTCTGTGGAGCCTGTGGGTTGTCAGCTTTCAAGATGCGTGTAACTTCTTGCTTCAGTTCCTTCCAAAAGAAAGAGATATACAAAAAAGAAAGGAGTTTATCTCCATTTTACAGTATTTACAATATATATCATTATCTTAAACATTTAAATATAAACATTGTTTTTTTGTAGATTAGCTAGTCTGCATGCAACCACTGGACAAAGATCATTGTTACAGTGTGAATGCCTTTTGCTGGTGAAGCATGATATAATCTAAATTTTAAAAACTACATTCTATATTTGTACCCTTATAATTTTTTTCCAATAGTTTTTTCATATAATAGTATTTCAAACACACTATGCCTGCCATATTTATTGCTAAAGAGGTGTTTAATTTAATAACAGAGGTCATAAGGACAGCTGGGATACAACAAACACAGTAGTGGTTTGAAGTTAACATTTTCCTACACTGAAAATGCATTTAAGATAGATACTTACCTCCTTCTACAAATAGCTTTTCTCAACTTATACTTATACTTATAGGTGCACATGTACAAATTTTCACTTGCCACTAGCTTTGATACTCCCATCTACCCTAACATGAGACTATCATGCAAATAATCATGGTGTAATCCTACATCAATAAGAGTTCAACACAACTCCAATTGTCACTAGTGCCCTCTCTTCAGTGCAGCCCAAAATCACCTCGAGATCGGGCAGTACATACAAAACCTACACTGGAAGTGGGGAGGTTGGATGGGAAATGTAAAAGGAGGTGAATATCTATCGGGAATATATTTTCAGTGTAGGAAAATGTTGATTTCTGATATAATATCTTACCTCCACTTACAAATAGCTAGAATCCCACATTGAGTTGGTGAAGGGTCTGGAGAGAATATGATCCCACTTTAAAAAGCACCCAAAAAAAGACCAGGGGGGGGGGGGGAAGGTAAAAAAACAGAATGCAACAACCTATGGAAGCCTGCACCACTTCTAAACCAG